TCATCTATTGACAACATAGTTTTGTTTGTTTTAAATTTTCTATAAATGATATGATATGAATGTATTTATTCTTTTATGACTTTCTCTCCTCTAATATTGTTTCTGATAATTAACTATATTGTTTTATTCAACTATAGTTTATTAATATGTGCTGTTAGACATTATTCTATTGCATAAATATACTTATATTTGTTTACCAATTCTCCTTTGGTGGACATTAATGTTATCTTTAGCTTTTTGCCATTACTAACAGTGCAGCTCTGTGTATCTTTGTATGTGCCTCTGGGGTACATGGGCCTGAGTGGAATTGTTGGTCATAGGATTTACACATCTCCATCTTTATTAGATAATGTTAAATTATTTTCCAAAGCGATTTTAGCAATTTACATTCCCACCAGTATTGTATATATATATTGTATGTACAATATATAAATTGGTATTTATATTTTACATATAAATACCAATTGATCCATGTCACCTCCAATACTTGACATCATTGAACTTTAGATTTTGATTGATCTGGCTGGTATAAAATGGTAACTCTCATTGGTTTTAATTTTAATTTCCTTAATGATTACCTTAAGTATTCTTTCATATTTTTTTCTTCCATGAAATGTAGGAAATGTTTTTGTGCCAATTTTCCATTGAATTTTATTTTTGTTAGAAATTCTTTGTATATTCTGGATAGTAATCCTTTGTCAGTTTCATGTTTGGCAAATAACTTTTCCCCACTTGAAGCTATTATGAGTCTTTTAATTAACAGTATTTCTTAGTTTTAATGGGTTTAAATGATCAATTCTTTTATTTGCAGTTTTAATGTTTTTTATTTTGTTTGAAAAAATCCTTCATATACTAAAAATCATAAAGATTTTTTTAATAGGTCTTAAAGTTTTGCCTACATGAGGTAGGCATTGGATGTTATTTTCTCTACATGTAAAACCAATTATCTCAGCATCTACCCTTGCACAATGACAATGATCTGTGGTATCATCCATGTCATATATTAAGTTACCACCAATGATGGTTTTGTTTTAGGATTCTCAGATGTAGTCCATTTGTATATTTGTCTTTTTTTTTTTTTTTGTACAAATAGTACATTATCTCAATTACCATAGCTTTATAAAAAGTCTTATCTGGTACAGAAAATTATCTTTCTTTGTTCTTCAAAAATGTCTTGGGCATTTCAGCATTTGCTTTTTAAAGTAAATTTTTTCATCGGCTTATCAAAGTCCATAAAAAATTCTCATGGAATTTATATTAGAATGTTATTAAATTTGTGGATCAACTTAGGGAACTAAGTTACATTTTAATAATATTATTTTCCTATCTTTGAATATGGTATATCTACTATATTCAGATCTACTTTAATGCTTTTCAGTAAAGTTTTGTGATTTTCTTCATTAAGGTCTTTTACATTTTAAAAATATACTTTTAGATACTTTATATTTTTGTTAGTATTATACATGGCTTATCAAAAATATATTGTCAAACTCTATGGCTGTTGCACAGAGATAAAATACATTTTTTGGCATATTAATGTTATATCTTTCAAATTTGTTAAACTTTGGGGTGATTTTTGCAAATAGTCTTTATTGAATTAAAGATGTTTCTTTCTATTCTTAGTTAATAAGGGATTGTTTTTTTATTATAACTTTTTTATTTTATTACATTTTTTTGCATCTATTGAGATATTATAATCATAAACTTTTCTATTTTGTTCTGTAAACGTGGTGAATTACATTAATAGACTTTCTAATGTTCAGCTACTCTCATGTTCCTGGGGTAAACCCATCCTATTTGAGACTGAACTATACAGTTGCCACTTTCTTTGCTCACCATCCCTTGTTGCATCACTGATAGTCCTTCTTATTTTCTTTCTTCCTGAAACATATCTTTTAAAAATGTCTTTTAGGTAAAATTTAAGGACATTAAGTCTTCTGTTTTTGTTCATTTTAAAATGTCTTTAGTTTCTTAAAAATGAAAATTATAGATAAAACTCTTCACATTATTAAAGTCATCAATATGATAGCACTAGACTGAGATCAGGAGGCCAGGACTCATGATCCAATCTTGTCATTATCATTTTGTGACCTTGGTTAAATTTCTTCATAGCTCTGGAACTTAGGTCTCCCCCACAGGATCAGAACAAATGCTCTCTAAAGGCATTTCTAGCTTTCGCATTCTGTGGTTAGGAACAAATGAATGAATAGTTAGAATAGCAGTATTAGAATACAGAGAACAGAGAGGACCAAAGAACATAGAGCAATTTGAAAAAAATAGGAAAAGGGAAGACAAGATAACATATTATGTGCCCTTCTTTGTGTTCAACTTTCTGGCAAGAAACTGTGAATACTCTGAGACTCAGTGATTTATCCAGCATTTGTTTATTCATAGATGTATATTGCATCTGGCACCTTTAAAAATTGGGGCCTCTCTCAAGAGTTCTCATGTCTGTAGTTCTCAGCTCTCTCAGCATTATAGGCTGAAACTGATGTTAGGGAGATAAACCCAAGGCTTAAGTGGAAAACAGAAGTGATAATCTTTTCTGAATTTCATGGAAGGAGCTTCATTAACCCTTTAGTTCTAGTCACTCCTAAGGTTTAGTGCACAGACCACTGGACTGGGTATCAGGAGTAGTGGTTCTACTGTATACTGCTACTTAAAAAAATAAAAAGAAAGAGAAGTGTTTCATGAATAAACAGTGATCTTGGGTTATAAATGTTATTTCTTATATTCTCAGTATTTTCATCTATGAAGGTAAAATAATTCCAGATCATAGGGCTATTAAAAAATAATATAATGAAGAGTGATAGTTTTGAAAATGCTATTATTTTCCCATGTGTCTGATTCTTTCTTTCTGTTCCCCGTGGTTATCTGTATCTGTATCTATCAGCTCTACTAGACTACAGGAAGCAGGAAATATATATCTGATTTGTATCTGTATCCTTTAAGATGTCTAGTACAGATAGATTCTCAATATTTGAAAAGTAGGCATAGTACAGATGAAATAAAAGTGTGAAAGTTAGCCAGTTGTCGGCGATGAGTGGGGAGCTCCCTACCACCACCACTCCTAGGGACCCATTTACTTGGATTCAACTTTAAAAGAAAAATGCTTTATTTGCAAGGTTAAGACATAGAGTGGTCAAGTAATTTCAGAACATATATAATCTTAAGACCTTCTGTGCTAACAGTAGAAGAGAGTGGGTGCCTTCATATTCTAGTTGGCATCATGTTTACTTTGAGAGACATTCTCTTTCTTAGAAGATCGCATGGAAAGCAAAGTATACAAAGGCAAGTAAATGTAATAAGTTTATTGAATTTCTAAATATAATAAAGTAGAGTTCTTTTACAGAAAAAAGAATATGATTTTCATATTTATTCTTATAGAGCATTGGAAAACATAATTGATAGAAAAAACTGATAGAAGGTAAATAAAAACATATTTTAATATAGTTTGATAATACATAAATACAAAATACCCAAATCACTTGCTTATAACAGGTTTTATTCTCTCATTTTCATAAGAAACCATGGGGATTATTTTGGATATGTCAGTGATGGTTCATGATGTAGTGGAGAAATGCAATTTGCTAAGAATAAAATAAATTGAAACCTATATTTTAGGAATACCATGGCTCCATCAGTATCACACATGAAAAAAATGCACGTTCCATATATATATATGTATATATATAAACATATACATATATATGTGTGTATATACAGTGTGTGTGTGTGTGTGGCGGGGGCTTTGTTTAAGTCAGGAAATATTATTCTGACTAGCAGGTGATCATAGTGAGGCTATGACTGTACTTAGTGGGGAGTTCTTGATCTTAGACACATTTAGCATAGAGAAAATATGGCTTCTCTCTGTCTCCCCCTTCTCCTCAATCTATCCAATTGTAAACACCATTTAATGTTTACATAAAACTCTCTCTCATTGTCACAATCATCAAATTGAAATCTGGAAGAAAGCTGTATTGTTTCTTTCCCAGCCCATTTTGTTTCCAAGGAGGAAAACCTCTAAATTCCCATGCCCCTTCTAACATCACACAGAGATTTTTGAACTCTTATCTAGCACTAAAATGTGATTCTCTAAAAAATAGAAAATGACTAGTGTTGAAATTGGATAAGAAAAAATGAAAAAAGCATTAACAAGAAAGACAGACTTTTTTAGTAAAGAATATCACTTTCTCCAAGAAACCAAATGATGACAACTAAAGCAGGGTGGTCCACACTCTTGAAATTATGAAATAGTAATTCGTTTCACCCTCATCCCTAGTTTATACAGTGCAGGTCCTTATATGGTAAGCAGAATGGTAGCTGACTGCAGTGGCATGGAAAGTATCTTCCATAGCTCGTTTGCCTTTACTTCTGTGAAACTGGGAGGTGTAGAAGACAACTTTGTGATTAAGAAGACGTCAAGAGCTTCCTTGGAGAAAGGCTAACTGGAGGTATCTCACTTTCCCAAAGCAGATGCATATTCAAGTGAACATGGAGCTAACTAACTTAGAAGGAAAGAGAGCGACTTGGCAAGTATAGTTTGCCAGCTGGTTGAGTCAGACGACACATTAAGAAAGATCATTTTTGGAAGCACGTTCTCCCTTCAACCCTTTTCCAAAAATCGTGCATCGTCTACCTCGTCTTATTTACCTGCACCCTCTCCTATTGTCACATCTGGGGAAGAATCCATCTTTATTGGCTGTACTGCGGTTCCATTAAAAGTATCGACAGTTATAATGTGAGTGACAGAACTAGAAAAAAAAAGTTATTAAAGAACATGTGCTACTATTTTTAGGAGTCAAAGTAAAGATGCTCTAAGGATCTGGCAAGGACATTTGGCCCCCTGAGCCTCCAATCCTCACAGCCAAGACTTTTCTTTAGTTTTCACTGATGTTAGCCTGAGAGATAAAAGGAGAAGAAATGTGCTGACATTCTAAACCCACCAATGCTTAGTTTATAAAACATACACATGATACATATCCTAATACAAGCCCTGGCTCTATTCTCTTCGTTTTTTTTTTTTTTTCCCCCGACTAAATGTTCCAATTCCATAAAGCATATATTTGTTTGAAGCAGAGTACAGAAAACCTCAGCAATATGCCACCATCCAGTAGGATATAAATACAAAGTGGCTGTATCAGCAAGGAATGCTCAGGGAATGTGTTTGCAGCCCATTTCACGGTGCCACACGAGAGGGGATATTGGAAATGAGTGACTTTCTTCCATTTGGCAAGGGTTCCTGATCTTAGCACCTACTCCTTTAGATGGTATGTTTTTGAAGGCTGCACAGTAGGACTCTGGGTACCGTGTGTACATACATATGTAAGAATAACGTTTATGTTTCTCAGAATAGGCACTTTTTGAAGGCAGTAAATCTAAAAGTAAAGTTAATAGAGCCTATATTTAGGGCTCATCTTCTCACTTTGCTGATGTGTTTGCTGAACAGAAGATCACAGATTTGAGTCAGTCTCGCAAAGAGGCCGGAGTCGGCAAATGGCTATATTCAGAGCTGGGGAAGTCTTGCCAACTCAACAGTAGCTGTTAAAAAGGCAGACTTGGAGAAGGTGCAATCGTTTTTCTCAAAGGTGATGGCACAGAAGGAGAAAAGCCTGTGACAAAGCCATGAAATAAAAGCTTGTGTGTGCAGCTCAGAGAAAATTACTATCCTCAGGCTCTGTGTCTTCGTGTCATGTCTACTTCACGGCACAGCTTTGATCCTCAGAAAGTTTTCCCTTCCTTTCTTGAGGTGTGTCTCATAATTGCACATATTCCCAGAAGAGAGAGAGAGAGAGAGAGAGAGAGAGAGAGAGAGAGAGAGAGAGAGAGAGAGAGAGCCCCAAATCTATTAAACTAATGATAAAAGTGAAGTTTAAAAGACAAAAACCAAACAAAATACAAAGTAATTCTTTGCATAGATGACATGGTAAAAGTTCAGTACTACATTCAGTTGTAACAGTTTTGCATCTAAGTTCAAACTTTTGCTTAAGGCACATTAAATCACATGATAATTTTATTCATGCTGGAGAATCAGACAATCAAGTGTCGCCTTTAATTTTATTTGTGTTTTGATAAATTTCCCCCAAAAGAATGAAGGCACAAATTAGATGTTTAGGGTGAAAACATTCTGATTTTGCAACTACTTCATTTTAAACTATTGGTGATAAGATTTAGTTTCCAGGGTTCTAAATCTCTTTCATTAAGGACACACCTCAGTTCAGACATTTTAGTTGAGTTAGAAAGCTGACACGGTCTACACCAGTTTCAATTTGCTACCTAGTAGGGAGGTCTAAGGCACTTTAACTCTTTTTGGCAATCTCACTCATATATGTTGATGTACTTCACATTCAACTAAGCAGAAGATATTAATAAAATGCAGACATTGCTCAAATATCAACTTGCCTTTCACTATTTGAAAGTTAAAATATGAGGTCATTCCCGTTGTTAGGATTCGAATTATAAAAACCCCTTTTCCTTTCAAAATCTGTTTGAAGGAATGAAACACGTTGGCAGATACATCATCACCTGACTAGGCTATTCTTCTACTTCTGGTTTATTATCATTACTAAGTGATCATCAACTGTTACCCAAAGAGAAAAAGAGATGAGGAGATACTGGTTTTTTCCTCCCCTTATACACATAATTCTCCCAAGAAAAAAAAAAGAAAGACAAAATGTATCTAAGAAAAACTAGCTCTCACATTTTCTAAACTAGTTCAAAAATGGAGTTAAATAATTTAGTGAGGAAAGACGTTCAGGCTTAATATTTACTCTCACCTGATGGAGGAAATGGAGTTAAGAAAGTAACTACTAATCCTATGCCTCAGTGTGAAGCAAAGCAGGCACCGAACAAAGTGGCAACACAATACATCAATAAGAACAGCCCAAGAATAGTTCTTTACTCTTTTCCTAACAGATAAAAACACGAAGAGCGAATCAAGCAAGAGAGATAAATACATTAGTTTCCACCCTCACCTCAAATTGCTTTGGAATATTTTAAGATATAAATGGATTCAAACAAAATTTAAATAACTTTCTCTTTTCTTTTTTGGCAGCCACAAAAATGGGTCAGGTCTAGGAATTATTAATTTTCTGGCCTGAAAAACCCAAGTGTTTAAAAATAAGATTTCTTTTTGAAAGATCAGCTTTCTTGGAAGATGTTTGTGTGTGTATGTGTATGTGCACACTCGTGTGTGTATGCATGTGCATGAGTGTGTGTTTTAAAGACAACAGTATTGTATTTTACTTAAATACGGAGAACTATATTGTGTAGAATGGAGGAAGACAATTTTTTATTGATAATTTTCTTTACATTATGTAAAGCTAAGTCAGGATTTGTGGCTCCCTTAATTTATTTAGAGGGCTGCGTTTTCATATTCGCTGCCTCGCTGTCTTTTTATTTCCTTTAATAAGATGTCACAGGTTCCACCCAAGTGAGTCTCTGCTCAGGTGCACTCACCTAGATAATTTTGAAAAGTTCTCCAAATGCTTCTTCTATTAATCTACTCCTAGGTGGGGGTACTCCATCTATTCTACAAGAATCGTTTTCTACTCCATCAGCCATAACATTTATCAAACCTTACAGAAAATGAAGCACCTTTTCAGACTCTAAATGTTGCCATCTCAACCAAGGTTACTATTCTGCTGGCTCCACTGGCCCCTCCTGTATTTCCTAGGCGTGAAGATTGGAAAGAGGCGAGAGGCCATTTGTTATTTAACTTGGCCCTCATTAATCCCAGGGGATAAGCAGATGGATGATAAGACCAGCTTGATGGATGATAGACTCTAGGGAGGGAAAATGTCTAGAAAGCTTATTAGATAAAATCATTTTAAAGATTTTCTGCAGTAGCTTTAACTCAGATGAAGAAAGAATATTTTTCGATCAGTTCACAGATTTTAACTGAAAACCAAACGAGAGAAATGGGATGAAATAAAAAAGCCAAAAGAACACATCAAAAAGCATGGCTTCCAGAGGGACACAGTTCAAGAGAAGGTACAGAGAGTTGTTGAACTGTCATGTACAGCGGCTTCTGGGATAACACAGGGGCTTCCCCAGAAGTGCCCTGGAAACACACAGTACCAAAGTCCCTGTGACAGCACACACAAATCACAAAATCAAAACAGCCCCCAAAGTCTGGCCTATCCAATGGCAAAGGCCAAATCTCAGCATCGCAACCAGCATTTATTCACAGATGTTTCGAGGTCATGGATTGGTGCGCTGGTTTGGAAATGCATGATGCAGTGACATATAGTTGGTGTGCCTCAATCAATGTGAACTGAGAGAATAATATGTATTATTTACCTACAGCAGTTTTTGCCTCTTGTGGAACATACATCGTAGTCCAGAGGAGAGACACTTGTCTTAAGAATCAAGTCACCCGGGCACTCCACTGAATTCTAAATGATAGGATCTTGGTTGATATTCTGAACTTCACAGTCCCAGAGAGTTTTTCAGTTAATATAAAGTAAACCAACTATCTCTGGGGAAATTTGCTGCCGTGTGCTTCAGTGCCACAGTTGTTTGTTCTTGGTGGTGGCCTTTCACCACCAACTTCATTACAGTGCTCAGCAGACAGAGTACCTAGTAATTTCCCCACAAGATGACACAATATGCACGCCAGCTCTAAAAGGTCTCCAACAGTGCACACGTGGATTTACCATGTGATCGTTAAATGGTCTATGTGAATTTCCTTGGATGCCTTTGAACAGGGAGCATTTTAGCCTGTGAGAAACATACTTGGAGCTCTGAGGTATTTTATGCCCCAAGACTGGCATTGGAGAGAGCACTGGGCTTGTGAGACCAGGGGCCATCCCTGAACTGCCACTTACCAGCTGTACGGTTCTTGGCAAATCACTTAACGATTCTGAGCCTCAGCTTTCTCTTCTAGGATAGGGCTATTAATAACCTTCCTCCCCGGGCTGTTTTATGTGTGAAAGCAGTCTGTAAGCTCTCTTAGGAATTATTATTTTAAACCACAGAAAGCCACCCCCAGGTCTGGCCCAGGAGACTGATGACAGGTTCTGCTGATAGGACTCTAATTCAAAACGGGTGGAAGAAGCCGCAAGCTTTGTCTTTCCAGAGACCAAGAAATACTGTTGAAACTAAATAGTAACCCAGGGCAATAACAAAAGCATTTATACCTTTTCTACATAAAACTGTAACACAGTATAACCCTTTCCCCCAAGAATGATTTCCTTTCACATAGAACTGGTCAGAGTAATGACTTTTAACAGAACCTTGTCTTTTGCTTTTGACTTTTTCCTTGTTTGAAGTGGAGATCACATACTGACATTTCCCAATATTTTTAGGTCATTATCAGCAGGTCAGTTAACTGGAGTGTATTGTTCATGGGACATTTACTGGGGGAAGGCACATAGCTATATAACAACTGGGAATAGTTTCTTTTGAATGAGAGTAAAAACAACAAAGAACTCATAAACTCTGAAACTTGATCCTCAGAATATCCTTCAGACTATTTTTAAGGATGTTTAAAGATTAGTTTAAAAAAAATTTAGCTAAAAATCAGTTTTTTAAGTAATGTGTTGCCAAAAACAAAACAAATATATTTCAACGGAAAATGGATGATGGAAGCAACATTTTGTTTTGTTGTAAATATTAGTCTTGTGTGGCCCCAAGGAGAACATAGGCCACAAAGACTGGTTCTCTTTAAGAGTGAGGGGGAGCTTAAAACAAAGTATGTTGGAGGAAATGGAAGACCTTAAGGAGCTCTTTCATGCAGGTGATGTTTAAGCAGAGTCTGGGTTATCACTTTGCAATGACTCTGTAAGGGGATTCTAACACTAGGTAGAATAGGTGACTACAGAGCCCTTTCTAATTGTGAACCCAGAAGCAATAAGAAAATAGGGGTGCCTTGCTAATTCTCTTGCAGGGGTTCAAAAGACAGGTGTGTTTGCTCTAACAGTGGAGTATGTAGCTATGAGCCAATCAGAATGCACATTTTGTATGTTACAAATGAAACTTCCTGTTCATACTGTGTTGTATCACATTTTGGCAACATCTTCCAATTCTGAAGAAATGAAAAAGCAAGTAATTGAATTAGCTTTCCTTTAGGATTTTTACTTCCCAATGTCCTCAATATCTGGAAGCCTTTTCTCCTGCTAAGAAAATTCCAGGATCTGTGATACTTTTCAAGCAGAGGGTTTTCTCTGAATGCAGCCTCTGCTTTCCTGTTGTTTCTGGTGCCTTAAATATTCTTTCCTTAACTCTAAATCAAGTCAATACATCAATTCAAGATTTCTTACCAAATTTCTCTCCTCTATGAAGTCTTACTGATGCCAGTGGGAAGAATTACTCTTACCAACACTATATTCCTATGGCATACCAATTAAACCTATTGGATCTTATTGCAGTTGGCTTGAGTCAAAGTTACTTAGGGGCTGATTCTCTTACGGTGATTATTAAATTAAACTAATGAGTAAGGGATAAAGACGTTAAGACTAAAGAGAAAATATACATTCCTAAAAATAGTTCCTGATCAATCATGTAGGAAAGCTGCTTACTTAGTCTAAAATGCAGCATCTCTGGGTACAAACATTTGAACACAGAAGAATGGAAGTAAATCACAAAACCAGCCAGTAAATACTTATGTCGAACCTATAAAGTATCCAGGACTCTTGCATATTCGGTATGGGAATATGGACAAGAAATGTCTTATTCTTGAGAAGATAGGGACAAAGGGAAAGGGCTGAGGAGACTATAAAGAAGTGGGCGTCTAATGGAGATGGCATATGTATTAGCTCACTTCTTGTTTTCAGAATGACTTTGGTTTTGGCAACATCAAAAACAGTATAGGGCACAGAGTAAGAGGATGGTTTTGTATGCTTGGGAGGTATATCCTCATCTAGCATTCACTCTCTTGGGTCTGAGTCCTTGGGGGAAATACCCACATTGAATATCAGTTTCCTTAGGATGATTCAAATTCCATTTACTTTCAACCTTGAAGAAAGTATTTTTACTTAGCCTGACGCAAGGTGATTGCTATGTTTCATAGAGTAGATTAAAGTAAAATTAGAAAATATTTTTAGGTCCAACTGTTCAAAGGAAAAGCAAAAGGTGATTGGACTTGACGTCATGTCAATAAAAGAGGAAAAGCTGAAGCAGTTATTGATATCTGACACAGAAGTAAAGATTTAGAAATTAGACTTGTTTTACATAGCTTCAGAGCCAGCTTTTTGTTTAATATGAGGAAGAACTTTTGTAGAAAAGAGTTGCCCTGATGGTAGAATGGACTACCATGAACAATACTACATACTGGCCGGGTCTAAGAAGATGTGGGATGGTGACATGTCAGGAAAATAACAGAGATTCAGATCCTTAAAGGGTCACAATTCCGTTTGTCTAGGAACAACACTGGTGTTTGGAGTCAGCTCATAGTCCTCTACACTGGTGGTGTACAATACAAGATGACAGAGCAACACCTGTCTCACTCTTGGTAGATCATTCTACTCCTGGGGTTGAGAACTGAATTAGAAGTTATGTTCAGTGCAAAGTTGACTAACTTCATTTGTGAGTCATTTAATAAAGCTTCTATTTGGGTATATTATGTAAATGTCTATCAGAGTTAGACGAAGGAAGTTTTCTCTTGACTCTAAATGGATGGGTACCTTAGAAAATTAACAAAGTTATGGTCATGCAATGGACCTAGCAGCAGCTCTCATTTTACTCTGTTCTGACAAAGGAAAAGTATATTTTATCATAGTGATTTTTAAACATCTCATAAACTTGGAAATATAAATATTTTACCTGTTTATACAACTATAATTGCTTAGACTGCCCCTTCTATCAACTTCCTCCTCCTCCTAAATCTCACTCTTCTTGGGAACAGGTTAAAAAACAACAATTGCCTACATATAAAAGTGACAGACTCACTGAGACTTTAATTCTTGGTAATTTCATTTATGTACTGCATTAAGTATGTTTTACTTTCTTCATATGTGACCCTCCCAAAAAAGGAAAATTAGTGTCAACCCTGTGAAAACTTGTAAAAAATGGAAGTGAGGATAGAAACTCAAAAGAAAAACATGTTCCCAGAATTATAAGCTTCTCCTAAACAAACAAACAAAACAAAGGGCATATATATTTTTTTTATCTGTATTAGCTAGAGTTCAAAAGAATCTCACACCCAAATTTTAACAAAATGCTGCAATGAGAGATACAGCTTTCTTGTTCTCAGTTTGCTTTTTATAAACAGATTATAGGTTTGTAATCTGTGCTCCAGGAAAAACTCTGGTGCTGGCTTTCGCCCTGCAAAATACTGTGATTCAACTATTAAGATTTAATATCATTGTCATAGGCAAAATGCTATGTGTAAAAATTCCAGAAAGATAATAGTTTTTCCTTGCCATAAGAAAAAATTATCAAGTTTCAATGGAATAAAATAACATGCTACCACTAAAAATATCATTATTTCGTTGGTCAAAATGCTTTGGATTAAAAAATAAAAAATCTTAACCTATTCTTAGAAAGATCACTTTGCATATAGCTGAGAAAAGTAGTCATAAATGAATTTGCCAAGAAGTCTCTGATCTGAGTCCCTGATGAAAACTCATTAAAATAAAATTAAAAGACTATATTATCTCATCTTATTCTATGAATAAACACATTCTGGAAAATAAGCCCTTTTAATGGAAGAGTTTATGGATGGCATACATATTCTTGTGATTACCGTTTTTCCTTAATATAATCATAATAGCATAGGATTGTAATGCATGAATTTATTTATGGGAAGCCCAAGCAGGATAGCATTAGTAGGCAGGATGGAAAGAATGAATAAGAAAGAGAAGAAAGATGGTAAGAATGGAAGGAAGGAAGAAAGCCGAAGGGATAAAAGGAAGGAGGGAGTAAAAATTCTCACTAAATCACACAGTTTTAATTGGATAATTTTATATACGTTTGAAATAATATGCTAACAAAACAAAACAATAGCCTCATGAACAAAATTTCATTCTAGTTGTCTGTCAAATAAAAACTCAACCTGATATGTTCATGATTGTACCATGATGACTCAGAACCCGAATTCTCAACTTGTTCTATTCACTATTAAATTAAAAAACACACAAACCAAAAAACTACGACAATTGAAAAAAATGTGGATATGCTGAATGAGTGTTAAAGGCTCAAAGTGAAATCTTGTCCACATTATCTCACTAAATCAGAGTTAGAACATACATGATCGTTAACAACATCCAATACATCACCTCGTGACTATAAGAATGTTTCCCCAATTTAAAAACCCATAAGGTATTTTGAAGAAATAAAAGAGAAAGAAAATACTATTAGAATAGACTAAAATAAAGAGTTTAGACTTCTCTGGATTTTGCTGGACTTTTTGAGGAGTATATCTTTGAGATTTGGGGATTGTTATTTATGTTACAGATTCTTCAGTGGAGTATTCATAGTAGTGTAAAAATTCTTTAAAAATAAGGCACACATATATGTTGCTTTCTGATTGTCTTGCATCCAAGTGCACCAAGAGAATGATCTCAGGAAAGGGACTCGAGGAACATTTTGCAGAGGTATATCTTTTTCAGCCTACTGGTTTCCTACAGATGGCTAAAGCAGGGTATGGAACATGCTGTCATATTTCATAACACACATGTACTGTAGCTGTAGGCAACAGATGGACAATCGCTTGTTTAAACTACAAATGTGAAATACTAAGGTAGTATAGCAATATTTCTAGAAATGTATATGGAAAAAAAGTCTTTCCAAGCCAAGAGGAATGGTGAGAGGCTGTGAGGTTACATCAGTGTTTCCCTGATCTTCCTTGCAGCTGCCATAACTTCCCTCAACGCCCTTCAAAACTCGATAATGGAGGGATCAGGAGGGCAGCTGACACAGATTTGACAAGAGAAGCCCAAACCATATCAAACAGAAATAACACTGTTATTCCTGGCTGGTTCACATTAATAGGATTTTAACTAACTAGAAAAATGGTTGGAAGTTGTGTTTTCAAAGTCCTGTTTATATTCCATAAAACCCTCTACTAGAGCGCCATGGTAAAAGTGCTCTATTCTTCCTCTGGACCTAAATAAAAATGCTTGTTTAAATCTATGAGTTAGAGTTTTATATACTTTAAACATCATCATAAGTATACATGAAAAATCTTTTATAGTGAGAAAAAAATTAGTGTTGATAATTTCACTGCAGAATACAGCGGATAAAGTAATTTTGATCAGAGAAGTTGTTCCTACAGAAACAGTTTGTCAATGACCAGAAAAAGAACCCACGTCTTTGAGCTACAGAAATTTCCACCATCTCAAAGCCTTGATGGCTTATGCTGGGACACATAAGTTACTTTTGAGTTTTAAAGGCAATTTTGTTTGCACATGAGACTTCACATTGAGTCAGCATAAGCTGGGGATGCAGGCAATGAAGAAATCTGATTCTGAAATTGTCTGTAGAGCCCATGACAGAGTGGGTTTTTTTTCCCCCTTTTCCATGTCTCTCATGTCACACAAAATTACCAAATATTTGTGTTCTTAACAATTTTTTTTAAAACCAGTATATTTTTACAAACATTCTCTTATAGGTTCTATGTTTTTCAATTATTTATGAATTTAAGTGTCAACAATTAAGACAATATATCAAAAGACAATAGAATTATATTCATTAAGGTAATATGATCTTTATATCTCTGTTATAGGCAATATTTCATGTAACTAAAACAGTAAAGAGTGATTTGGCATTGTTTAAGTCAAATGATTAATAGAAAAGAAAAGAAAGTAATATAAATCTTATATTTAAGATATCCTGGAATAAACAATTGTAGGATCCTTTCCTTATTATACTTTGTGAAAGAAAAAAAAATCTAAATCTAAATATTTCTGTATATGTACGTGTGCACATTCATTATATAAAAGAATAATAAGTCTATATTAAAAGAGATTTACTTTAAAAATCTTTGGTAAAGATACTCTGAGGTCATGTGATAAAAATGCACAATAAAGACTGTAAGCAAGCAGTATTCTGGCACTGCCACAGTGATGCGTCTGCGACAGCATTTTATTATAACTTGCTTTTTTTTTTTTTGGCTTGTAAACATTCAGTTCCATAAGGACTTAACTGTAGCAAACAAGTAGAATGTTATTGCATTTTCATAGTATAAATATTTCATAAATTCTTCCTTTTTTGGCAAAATTTATAATAATATGACAGCTATTTAAGAGATAAATCCATCTCTCAATAAATTGGGCTCTTTGCTTTTGGCCTAAAGACAGTTTTTCCCAAGTGTTTCGTAGAAAACAAGTTACTGAAGAAATTCAAGCAGATTATATTATCACCCCAACTGTTTAACAGTCGGTGTTTTTTGAGGTCACCAGTATGGTATGGCCTTTAATTCGGAAGACAGAATGCAGAGATACAATCGCCATTGTATCCTAAAATTCACATGCTACTCAAAGTGAATCCCATTGTATTTCACGTAATGAGAAATTTAAAATCAAGGATAAGAGTTTTAAGGTAAGAAGAGGACAGTGGTCAAAGGAAACTTTTAAAAGCTATAACTTTGGTGGTTTTAAAACAAAACTGTTTGGTGACCAAAGCAAATGAGCCACAGATTAACTTAGATGAGCTACAGTGACCATAAGCTTAAGAATTTAAGCCTAAAAAAAAAGAATCATTTTTATAAGTATTCTTACTAAAGTAAAATAAATTTAATTGGAATTCTTGAGGCATGGATTGCAATTCAAAACATGTGTAAATAATTTTTCATTTCTGTTTTGGGTGTTAAAAATAAAAATAAAAAAATAAAGTCAGGCTAAAAAACTGACTTCATAACTTTATAACCATGAAAAAGATATTTGTGAAATCAGGGAAGGTGCACAGGGAAATGTAATTATATTTGTTATATTTGATTTCTTAAACTGGGTGTTACGTATATAGAGATTCATTATATTATTATTTATACTTTTGCATATACTTAAAATACTTCATAATTTAAAAGTATATACTTGTGGAAGATTTGAAGGAAGGTTTAAGAAATCTCAATCCAAAATAATTAGTTTAAAAAACGGCAATCTGCCATGATTAATATAGGTGTCTCTTTCTAAAAGAAACATGTTCGAACCTAATGAAATACGGTTCTACAGCTGGCAAGCAAGCATTTCACTGCCCAAAAGGGTTTGAATAAAGATTCCAGGCAGACAGTCTGCATATTTTTACCTCAGAAAGGCAATTTTTTTTTAGTGATTGTCTTTGAAAGTGTGGTATAAATGTCCCATCAATGATATGAAAATGTTTCTTGCAATACATAATGTGAGTTACGGAAGGATTAAGAGAATAATGATACTGTAGTTTCACAATCTTTTAAAGTTTTCCTGTCTTTTGAAATCAAACTAAACAAAACTACACAATTTTATTTTGTGTGCCTTGATTTGCAATTGTCAGGCAAAAAGGACCTGGGCCTGGGGAAAAAATATAATTTGAATTGTTCCTTATAGCTATCTTTCACTAGAGAAAATGTCATTTTTGGGGATCATGTTTGAATATTAGAAAAAATGTCGATATTTCTGATATGAAAAGCGGGACAGTATAGGAAATGTTATATTCTAGAGAAAGCCACGTTTGTCTGTATTATTATGTCCAGGCAGTATGGAAAAGGAAAAATCTTAAAATAATATTGTGGGATAATAATGGGCTCTTCAAACATATTCCCAAAATGCTTTTTCTAGCATATCCCACCTATTATTTCTATAGAAAAAGACTGACATTTGGATCTCTCTCACTGATATCTGTTTTCCAATGAGCCCCAACTCTAGTCACTATAGATTTTGAATTTGGATGGTTCCAAACTAAATTTGGGCTTGTTTTAATCTATGTAATTTACAGCTTAAATTCATATAAATTGTGCATTTTCCCCACAAGGGACATGACCAGTTTAGAGCAACAGAAAGATATGCTTTTCAATACACAAAGAAAGAATGGCTATCCTTTATGATCACAGGCAACGTGGAAGTGATAGGATGGAGCCTTCAAGCCTGAAAGCACCTGTGAGTTGGCAAACTCACCCAGGAAAAACTGTGTGACAGCAAATACCACACTAAAAAAAGCCATTCAACCAGATGAAAAGTGAGACAAACACAGGGATTAAAAGTTACAGGAATGCAGAAGTGAATGGGATGGAGCATAATCCGTGCAAAAATGTGGAAGTCCTTGGGAACAAAGGCCCATTAAGGTCCTACATGATTAAATGTGAAATGTGTATTTGTAAGAACTTACAAAAAAATCTCATAATCTATGTGTTTCTACAGAAAGGTTACTAGCAGATGAAGAACAGAGACCATCCTATAGCTTGTTTGCCTTTCCTCTATTTTTCTACTTTTTTTCTATTTTTTTTTCTTGTGATTCATTCTTCTCGGTGCCACCAACTAACCAGCTAAACGGGCCATTGAATTTAAAGGTCAGTGCTAGCCTTGGCGGTCAACACTCTGATGCGGGCAGAGTTGCAGGTCTTGCAGAGGATGTGTCCATCCAAAGGGTAGCAGCCTTGGTTATCTCCTTCTGACAGGAGACCACCACAATCCTAGAAAAATAGACAGATGGAAATGATGTAAGTGAGAATGTAAACTACATATGTAAAGACCAAATTCTTTAGCTTTCCATTCAAGGCTTCCGTTATGCGGCCACTTACCTATCCTCTTCAAATACCCCCGGCCACCTCTAATCCTTCCCCAGTAAATAGCATAGTATGTATTGAATGAAATTGAATTAAATATTGAAGACATACATAAAAACAGGGTAAAATTACTCTCTTAAGGTCACTTAATAGGAAATACAGGTATAGAAAGAGAAGAACTCAGAGGTCTAGGCTTCCAAATCGTACTTCTGCTCCCTTAATGCAAACAATAGCAAGAACAAGAGAAAATAAAACAAGACTATATCCCTAACCGGTAATTCATTGTTACCCTTTATCATCCGTTTAAGACTCTCTCAAAAGGAATATACAAGGGCAGGGACAAAATTTCTTGGCCATTTTCGGGCAAAAGCTAAGCTATAGAGTGGCTCCTGATAAGCTGAAGGGCCACCAGTGGGCTCTACATACTTACTTTAATTGCAGTAAGAAAATAAAATCCTGAGGTTTGTGGAGAGTAATGATTTGTTATACTTTCTAAAGGAGATATCGTGGTGTAGAGGAATGAGTGCTGGACAGGGAGACAGCCCCCTTGGGCACTACCATTAGTTCTAACACTACCTGTGTCACTGCAGGTAAGGCCGATGGCCACTCTGAACTGTTGAGAGAATCAAAGAGGATGATGGATGTGAATATACTTTGAAACAATGCAAAGAGCTCCATAACTGTAAAGAATCATATTGCTGTTGGTAGCACTTCTGAGGGTCCATTTTGGAAAGTGTTATATAACAATTAAATGTTGGCCCTTACTTTTAGAGAAAAATGGAAGTTTCTTTAGAAAAAAAAAATGAAGTACTTCATCTAGTGGTTTGTGCCCTTGCTAACTTTAGCAAAAACTCTTTTAAAAGGCCACAATTGCTCTTGCCTCACCTTTGCTGTCTACCATGACAGCAAGGAGGTCACTGCGGCTCATGTCTGCACTGGATAAATAGTGAAATTTAAGTTCAAAAAGGGTGTCACGGAGAATACAACAGCAGCAGTAACAGGTGGCACAGGCTGGGCTCCCCAGGAAGGTCGGATTTACCAAAATGAACTAGCAGATATTTTTCAGCTCTGGAGGCATTCAAGAAACCCAACAGTAGAACTAAACCAAATCTTTTCATTTCATTAGAAATAAAGAGGAACATTTCATAAATGATATAGTTTTAAGCATTTAATGAGCTTACATCTACAGTAACCTGCACAGTGTTGGAGTCATCAATGCCTTGATTCTTATAGCCAAAAGGAGCCATATGGGGCATCTAGTACAACCTCCTCATTTTAGAGAGAGGGAAGTAAGATATCCGGTGCGATGCAGTGTCCGTGGCAGAACTAGAACAATGGTCTGCTCTCTATGATAATATAATTCATAGTCCCTCCCATCCTGCAGTATTGTTTCTAAAGAAATCCTCAGCATTTTAAAGTAAGCTGAATTTGTACAGCTATCACTTAATCTGGGAGAAGGAAAAGCACATTTCGTACAACTCTTGGCACAAAAAGTCAAAGCTTATTGGTATGTGTGTGAGGGATGCTGGGAAGCTTTTTTTTCTTTGTGGCTCAGTTTCTCCATCTGTAAAATGATCTCTAAAGTATCTGTGAGCTCTTACACATTTAGAATTCAGGTCAATTTTAAAAGTGATGGCTGGACTTTGTTCCTTTTTAGTCATAAAACCTTGTGTAAAACCTAGTCGTTTTTTTTTTTATCTTTTCTCTAGATAAGGCAACTTGGGCTCTAGGACAAAACAGCGCACACCATAAAACAGGTGGCCAGTTATAGCCGAGGCAGTGGATGGAATGAAGGCGGTCTCAGAGAGCCAGCCTGGGTCTTAGGAAGATCTCCTTAGAGGGACTAGATGAGCCAATCTCAGGAAGATGTGCTAATGAGGAAGTACATATAATTCCCTCAGATAGAACAGAGAGCTGAAAACTGCTGTACTCAGGAAAGCTAGTAGAACACAGAAAACTGCTTCAAAAGAGGGCGTCTGCGTAACTTATAGAACCAGGATAAGAAAACATTTTAAAATCGTTTCCTGAATGTGGTATCCTTTTGAGATACAGATTATAAGGGAAAGACCTAGTACTCTTTGCTGTATGAATGACATGTCCCTTGGGCAAGAAACTTTCTTTGTCACTTATAGCCTGGATTACAGCTATTGTATATATATATCCATGGCATCTTGTATATAACTCTTCCCTAGCTCTTAGCAGTCACCTGAACTTTTTGTGAAGTGTTCAGTTAGTGCTTGCTAACATAATGAATCTCTATGACATGAAATTTCAACCCTCCGAGAAGAACAAATTCTTAGCCTTCTCAATGGGTGATCGTGGCATCTCTGTCCCATAGAAGTATCAGAGCCAAAGTTAAAGATTCAGTATAATAACAACAACAACAACAACAACCACCACCACTACCTTTTCCCACTAACTTAGCACTTTATGATTTACGATATACTTTAATATACAATTCTGCATTTTAGTCACACAGCCACATTTGGGAAAGTTAAGAATGAGTCCTTTTTACAGGTATGGAAATCGAGACAGAGGTAAAGTGACTTATTCAACATCACTAGCATTAAATGCTCAGGCCAGATCTAAAACATAAGTCCTGTGAACACAGGCACAAAAGGCTGTTCCAATTTAGTAATTGCTATATTTATGAAAACCTGGCTTTAATGGGTCTTTCAATGCCTGCCATGCAGGGTGTAGGGGTGCTGACCACAGACCTCACACCGGTAGCAGTGAACATGGAAATCACGATCCAGAGCCACAATCCGGACAGTCTCTTCCTGGCCCGGGGCTGGCATGATAGGCTCCTTGCACACAGAACATCGTGGGGCAAATTTCCTGAAAATGGAGGGACGATTCTGGTTAGATATCAAGCATAGACGATGACAAAGAGGTGAGACACAGAGATTAAAAGAAAAGGTATAAATCGAAAGTCAAGACATCTGGTCTGCCATTCTTGTGTGACTCTGAGCAAGTCACATGCCTTCTCTGGGTCTGCTTCTTCAACTTTAAAACAAAGGAGTTAGACTCAGTGACTGGTGAGGTCCTCGTAGATCATAAATATTGTGATAGTGGATGAGCGAGTATGTGAATTGCTTATGCGTGAGAGCATCTAGGAGCTACTGGCCATGTGGTATGTGGTACGGAATCCACTAGGGGAGAGATTCCAAACACAGACCCCGGGCTTGGGCAGGCTAGCTAGAGGGGAGGACAAAGGTGCTGGAGGTCCCTACTTGTTTCTGACTTTTGCTTCTAGACATTGTTGTATGTGTTCACCAGGCCCCACCCAGCTCTTCTGAGCTTGATAACTTTGCCTTATTCCCACTTATTAGAGGCTCTTTCTTCGAAATGTGTCTTCAATTCTAAGAATTAAACCACGAATGCCTATCTTTTCTAAATAGCAGAGGTTAGTAAGTTTAAATACTCTTTAAACCAAACTTACTATGGCCAAGTCTGTACTTCTTACATTTTGGTTGTGTTAAACTTTTGTTTGAAAAAAAATTAAAATGCTGTTAAGTTCTTTATTCTTTAAAGGATTTTAGTGCTTCTGGAGGGTATGTGTATATGAGCACATATATACATACACATACATACACAGATATGTATGATTTTGAGGTTAAACGTTGGTGAGATATTTTAATATTTCCTAATCTCCTAATATTCCTTAATATGACAGATAGCCCTAACATTTTTTTCTCATAACAGATTAATAAATTGCAAATATAGGCCATGCATCCATCTGTATCTTGTAGGGATTAGGGGTGGCATTTATGAAGGTGTGAAATGAGACATAATTAGAAATGGGCGTAGATAAGAACTGAAAAAGATTAAAAAAAAACAGACTGTGTAAGCAACTCAGTTTTTTCATGGTAAGGGTTTTAAGATTAATGATGTTAAAATTTATTTATTTGTAGTGAGATTTAAAAAGGAATAATGATAGTAATCTGATACTTTGCAGAGCACTTTATGGCTGTCAAAGCATTTTTACATACATTATACTCTATATGTACATATTAATTTTCCTGGCAGCACCCAAAAGGCATCTGTATGGCTGCAATCTAAATAAATATGAATTAAGCAGTAGATCAATTGATTGCTATGAAAGAAAAATGAAAAGGATCATGGTACAACTGCAGCAGTAATCAGAGTTGTTATAATTGGTATTTTATACAAGAAATTTATACTCGGTGGCAAAAAAAAACTGCTTTAGACTACCTGCTTATTTTTGAATCTGGGTCACTAGTAGTGAAATAAGAAGGTTTCTGGAATCAACTGAAAAGTTTCCTTTTCCCATACCCATTCTGACTAAAAATTCTCTGAGGTCAGAAGTATGTCTTGCCTATCACTGTATCCATGAGCCTTACCCAATTTCCCCAAGTAGGATTACTTACTCCTCTAGGATAAAATATCTTTCACTGCATATGGCTATTTTAGTAGGGGTTATTTGCATATCTTCGGGGACCACTAAACTGTGACCTTCCAAAAGACAGGATTTGCTCCATCTCTGAGTCCCCAAAAACAACCACTGTGACTGGTGCAGAGAGTAGAAATTCAGGCTGTATTTAATGAAATGAAGTATCTGCCATATTTCTCTATTAAAAAAAAAAATGTTACTTGGGCCTTTATGTTCAATCTCAAGGTCCTTCCTCTTTGGAAAGGAATAAACTGTATTCTTGCTGAGTAATGATTCCTTCCGACAATTGGACTAATTTCCATGATGGGAAAAAGCAAAGCTAAGAGACAGGAAATGGTTTCCACAGTCCCTACAGTGTTCCTTGGCCAGCATTTCAAAGATTGTTCAAAATCTCAGGTGGCCTATTTCAAGGTTCAGTATACTGAGCAGACAATAATAATAATAATGATAATTAACAACAACAACAAATAAACTCGATAACACATTTGATGGCTAAAAGCTACCATTTATTGAGTGCTTATTATGTGCCAAGCCCTGTCAAGCACTTGACCTTATTTTCTACTGACAGCAGCATTATGAGAAACTGTTTTTATCATTTCTACTTTACAACCACGGGAGCCAAGGCTCAGAGAGGTCTTAGTCATCTTATGTCCTGGCACATTTCTAGAAATCAACAAATGGATATTGATGAAACAAAGAAATTAATGAGAGTAATATGCCTGACAAGAAAGAACAGATAGTGGAATAAAGGCTCAACAATGAAAAGGTCAATTAAATAAGCTTGTTTTTCTGAGCTCATTGTACTGGCACTAGGAATACAGATATAAACTAGGGCTCCAGAGATCAAACTGGTGAAGAAGTTCTATTTCTGCATTTGTTCTATTAATGTATGTACACATATCCTATCATATTGCAAAAATTTAAGGTGGTTGCTGTAAAATTTCATGGATGTGTGTGTGTGTCTGTGCATGTGTATTCTTTATTACTAGTCAGATTATAATAAGTGCTATCTGCGGATGATTTACAAAACTATTAAACAAAGAGAAAGGGATGTAAATTAAAACATGGGGATAGGGAAGGTATGAGATCAGAAAAAGCTTCTTAGAGAGACAGTAATTGAATTGGGCCTTGAAAGATGGCCATTTAGGTGAAATGGCAAAGTGTGTGTGTGTGTGTGTGTGTGTGTGTGTGCGCGCGCGCGCGCGCGCGCGTGTTG